AGTTGTTGATTTTGGTACGTAATTATGGTAGTAGATAAATGTGATGGTGGAAGTTTAAAATTTTAATTCTGAAAGTGATTAAATTAGTATAAAATTAAATGGATTTAATAGAGAAAAACAGCACAATGGAATATGGATAAGCAAAATTTAAATATGACAATTCGGAAGAAAAGGAACACATAAAAAAGACGATAATGAAAAAGCGAGATAATTTTATCGCAGAAAACAAAAGTGAGATTTGATCCAATTATGATGATGTTAGAAATGAAAAAAGACAGAAGACAATATAATGAAGAAACAAAAGATAGAGAGCAGATAATAAACCAAATGGATAAGAAGAGAAGACGAGAAAGAAAGTAGGAAATGTATAAGAAAGACAAGAGAGAGAGATGATGCAAATGATGATAAAAATAAAAAAACTAGAGAAACTAGTAAAACAAATAAATAGAAAATAAATAAAGAAAGAAGTGAAGAGTTAAAAAAGAAGAAAAAAAAATAAATATGAATATAGAAGAAAGCATAGAAATAGATATTGAGGAAATAAATAAAATGAAAGAAAAAAAATAATTAAAAGAAAATGGATATAAAAAGTTATAAGAAAGAAGAGAGGCAAATAAAGAACAAATAATAAAAGAGTAAAGGTACAAGCAAAAGTCATAAGTATTATTAAATTAAATAAAAATAAAATAAAAATTGGAGAAGTAAAAAAGAGATTGAAAAATAAAATAAAGGAAATTAGATTACAAATAAAACAGGATAACAAAAAAATAAATAAAAAAGTATTTTGGATAAAAGTAAGTAAGAAGATAAATAAAAACAAGAAACAAAATGAAAAAAGGAAAACCAAGTATAAAAGTAAAAGAAAACATTATAAAAAATTAAATTTAGGGCATGCAAAATTTTAAAAAATAAGGCAGATGAAACCGACAACAAAATATACAGAATAATTGAAGAATATAATGAACAATAGAATATTGACCGAAATAGAAAGACTAAGGACTAAAGTTAAAGAGAAGATGAAAATTTAGAAAGGTGAACAAAGAAATTCTAAAATCAAAGAAGAACAAAACATGGAAAATAATTTGGAAATACTAAATATATTATAAAAGAGGCATAAATAATAGATTTTTAAAAGTATATATAAAATAAAATATAAACGTATGAAATAAACGATATAGCATATTAGTATAACTAGCTATGAAATGTTATGAAAAGTAGAGTATTACGAAATAGTTAAAAGTTTTTGTTAAATTATTATTAAATAGTAAGAATAAAAAGATATAGATGGCATAGAACAAGAAAAATACAAATAGTTAGGGGAGTTGTAATTTTTTTATTTAAAATTTAAAATTAAATTAATGGTTCTTAGTATATTTGGAAAGTATATCAGGATTCATAGATACAGAAGCAGGAGGTGATAGCAGAGAGCAGACAAAGTAAGAATTTATTTAGTTTTTTTTTTAGTAAAATTTTGTTATTGGTAATTAATATTCTGTATATTTTAGATACAAAACCACCGCTTTGAGAGTTCTTTCTTTCCATGTTAATATTTAACTAAATATCCTTAGTATCTTTGGTAACGATAGCAGGTGATAGCAGAGAATAGAAAGGCTTTATAGATACAGAGGCAGGAGGTGATAGCAGAAAGCAGAAAAAAAGAAAAAGAAAAAGTTAAATTTTTTATTTAGTAAAATTATGTTCCTGGTAATTAATATTCTAAAAATTTTAGATACAAGACCACCACTTTGAGAGTTCTTTGTTTCTATATTAATATTTAACTAAACATAGTTAAGTGCAACGTGTGCCAAAATTATCAAGTTAAAAAATGCAATATATAGTAATAGTAGTAGTAACATAAAAGAGAAAAGATGAATGGACAATAAAATAAAACAAGGTTTTATAAAATTTAAATAGAGACAGCGATTTCATGTTGAAAAAGACGATAATTCGGTTGGAGTATAACAAAATATATGTGCCTAACATGTGTCAAATAATTAACATTCCAAGCACTCCAGCTCCGCTATCCTGGGTTCAGGAACTGGGGCATGTTAACACAAAACCTACAATTGTAACAAGTGTACAACTTGTTGAACTTATAGCTTCAATACCTTTTAATGTTTATTACACAATAATATTAGAGCAACTTATAATCAGAGAACATTTCTATAAGAGTAGTTAAAATGTACAAGACTTTTAGGACATGTGTACGTTTACAACATAATGTGAAGAGAGGTTAATAGCAATTAATTTTAGGACTGTTCAAAATGTCTTCAGAATAAGTAGTATTTGACCGAAAAATTAAATGGCTAGAATAAAGAAGTTTTTTTAGGACATTCTCTGAAACCCTTCGCAAAGAGCACAAGGTGAAAAAGTAAAAAGATGTTGGTAAAATCTAAATAAAAGTGTAATGGTAAGTGTTGTTACATGTTATTTACTTGTAATCATTATTGCAGTTTCATAGAACTACAAAAATAGAGCATTTGTCAATAAAATTCGATTAATTTTTATTTGATTAACAGCATCCACAAAATCATAAATAGATTTAAACACTGACATTCTTAACACACTACGCATTTCACAAACACCTTGATGCAAACACCGTGTAGAGCAATCGACATTTTCTGTGAAGGCTGCAGCCCATACCAATAATTACTACTGTTCCATGAAGTTGGAGATAGGTCTCGTAAACGATCTCAAAATTGAGCTTTATTTAGTCTAATTCTCTCGTTAAATTCTTCATCAAATAGAAGTGCAAAGTCAGTTGTCTCTCTGATTTTTTTTATAGATGATCCACGTTTTCATCATCACTTAAACCATATATTGCATGAGACGTGTCAATAAAGCTTATTTTAAACTGCTGCTATATAAATTCGTACTCACAATTTATGCAAAATTAAAATTTTTCTAAAATTGTAATGAAACGCGTAACATAAACTTACAAGTTTTAATTTTGAGTTACAAAACCAGACCTACAACAAATATTTTCCTACAAAGGTTAGTACAAGTTGAGTTGTGTTGTGTTACAAAACTTGACAGGTCTCTAAACAAAAACATACCCTTTTTAAACTTGTAAGTCTTGTCTTACAGGTTCCTGCACGTTCATACGAGAGGTAATCAATGGCAATTTACTCTTTATCCTCAATTTCACACTGCATCATGATCAAACTTAATATGGGGATTACCGTACGAAATATCAATGAAACTTACTTAATTTTATATTCTACTCTTTTATATTCTTTTTTCTATTTCTGTTTCTACTTCTTCTTATTTAGTTTTACTACTTGTTTGTCTTAGTTTTTATATTTCGTTAAAATAGACAGTTTAGAAATTGTAGTTTATTTACATTGAGCGTTTTACAAAAGCAATTTTGTAAAGAAATGAAAATTCAACGTGAAGGTTGTCGTTAGATAATTTTTTTACACCTTTTATGCGTAAGTCATCAACAATACCTCAAAGCACTATCAGACAAGACTGTTAACAACTGATTTGTGGAAGTTCGTAGTTCTGGTGTTTTCATTAATGATGAATTTCTTGAAGGTCGATCGATTGTTCTTCAAAAAAAAAAAATGATTCTATGCACAAAATAGTTAAAAAGTATTGGCTTGTAACCTATCGTGAGATAGAGGTGTCCTTAGATATATCAAAGACATTTAATGATGGTAAAGGCAAAGGGTCCAAATATTATTTTATCATGGGAAGGTTTTAGGTGTAAATGTTTCAAATACAATGACAGTATTAACAGGCAGACAGCCCGAATATTTTTAGATGAACAGACGTAATTGGCAAAGGGAACAAATATTTAGATATGGATGTTTACGGTCATTTAGACATGGGCAGGCTTAAGGGGTAAAAGGATAAAATTTATTTACAATGACAGGTTCAATATGTGTATTCTTAAGAAATAAACAGACCAAATATTTTTATAAGATGAGGTAAAGGAAACAAGTATTTTTACATGAGCAGGCTTAAGGAATAATGTGAATAATAAACAGACTTAAGAAGTGAATGGTAGGATAGTCCATTGAAATTTACCTAACTAGACTTTAATTTGGTTTTACTTTATATCAAAAGTCACCACACAAAATTTCAGCATCTTACGAGAAAATGACAGCGGTGCTTAACTGATATTATTTTTTTAAATTTTGCTGAAAACAAATGTTTTTTTGTTTTTGATATTTTCTATTCTTAACAAAATAATTAAGAAATACTTTACCAGTGACTATATAAATATAATTGAAACATCTTAGTGAGAGATAATAATAATAATAATATTACTCTCCCTAATTCACCCCCTTAGGAGTGAATTTTAACCCCAAAAGCTGAGCTTGTGCGGGGAATGGGACGGCTATTATTATTATTATTTGACGTGGCGCTCCGGGGCGACTTAAAGATGATTGATAGTGCCATTTGAGGTGAGGAAAACCCGGAAAACCTCACCCACCATCATCGAGACGGTAATTCATGGCGATTTTATAATCTGCATGTCATATCAACATAAATTGAATTTCTATTAATACGGCACACATCAAATCCTAAACCGAACCATGCAATTTAATTAAAAATCCACATGGTCTGGTCTGGGATTCGAAGCCCAGCAGTCTATGACTCATAAACTTGCCTATAAATAAATATAAGCGCGTTAGACCGCTACACCACCGACCCGATATTATATATTTCTAAACTTTAAATGAGTTCAAAATGGTCACACCATCAACACGCTATGTGGACAGTGTTAATTTAATTGGCCTGGTGCCAAGGACTTAAAACTTTAAAATAACATGAGCCAACTACCTACAACAAGAAAAGTTTTGTTATTTTCCTTTTTTTTTGCAAAAAAAGCATGATAAAAAAGTTATAGTCACATAGATAATAGAAATGTATGATAGAAGAGTTAAATAGAATATAACAAAGAGCCTTATTTCCTTCAAGATTAACCAAATATCCAATAGAAAAACTTGAAAAAGTTAATTTAGAATGGCTATTACTGAAGAAATGCCTAGGAAGAAAATCTGAAACTCAAGAACCAAAAGAAATTTAATTTATTTACTGAAGAAATTAGGAAAAAAATTGGAAAAAAAATTGGTGGAAATTGGGAACAAATTGGGAAGAAATTGGGAAGAAATTGGGAAGAAATTGGGAAGAAATTGGGAAGAAATTGGGAAGAAATTGGGAAGAAATTGGGAAGAAATTGGGAAGAAATTGGGAAGAAATTGGGAAGAAATTGGGAAGAAATTGGGAAGAAATTGGGAAGAAATTGGGAAGAAATTGGGAAGAAATTGGGAAGAAATTGGGAAGAAATTGGGAAGAAATTGGGAAGAAATTGGGAAGAAATTGGGAAGAAATTGGGAAGAAATTGGGAAGAAATTGAGAAGAAATTGGGAAGAAATTGGGAAGAAATTGGGAAGAAATTGGGAATAAATTGGGAAGAAATTGGGAAGAAATTGGGAAGAAATTGGGAAGAAATTGGGAAGAAATAGGGAAGAAATTGGGAATAAATTGGGAAGAAATTGGGAAGAAGTTGGGAAGAAATTGGGAAAAAATTGGGAAAAAATTGGGAAGAAATTGGGAAGAAATTGGAAAGAAATTGGGAAGAAATTGGAAAGAAATTGGAAAGAAATTGGAAAGAAATTGGGAAGAAATTGGGAAGAAATTGGGAAAAATTGGGAAAAAATCGGGAAGAAATTGGGAAGAAATTGGGAAGAAATTGGAAAGAAATTGGAAAGAAATTGGAAAGAAATTGGAAAGAAATTGGAAAGAAATTAGGAAGAAATTGGGAAGAAATTGGGAAGAAATTGGGAAGAAATTGGGAAGAAATTGGGAAGAAATTGGGAAGAAATTGTGAAGAAATTGAGAAGAAATTGGAAAGAAATTGGGAAGAAATTGGGAAGAAATTGGGAAGAAATTGGAAGGAAATTGGAAAGAAATTCGGAAGAAATTTAAAAAAATTGGAAACCCATTTGATTAAAAAAAATTTTTTTGATAAGAACGCTTATTATAAGAGTTTAATAAAAACCAAAGAGGAATCCAGAAAAAAAATTGGAAAAAGGAAACTCCGTCGTGTTCACTTACAAAATCCGATATTGATTTAGAAAAAAAAATTCGGTTCTAATACAAGCCCTATTGATCAGTCAGATGATGAAGCTTATTAGACATAAAGTTAAAAACGAATTGGAGTGGTTTGTATTTTACCACCATGTACTAGAAATAATTCTCAGCAAAGTATTTACCTTATGCTTAGGTCCTCTTAAATCACCTGACATTCCTCTGCTTAAAATGATTAAAGAAACGTGTGCTGCACTTGTTAAACTGACTTTGATTCTCACCGCTGACTTTTTAACAAAACTATTGCTTCCATTTTTATAGAAAATCGACCACCCTAGAGATGACTATTTGAAGTTAATTGAGCTGACGATGTTAGTTTTGGGATATCCACTGTAGACTCTTCACTGGAAAGCACCAGCGCCAATTTACCATGCTTACTGGATGGCCAAACTTATGTATGCATTTAATTTGAAATTATTCATTAAGTTTGGGGCATTGTTCTGTGTTTAAAATTGGATTAAAGCTCCAATCAGTACGAATGATGCTACAAGTTACCTGATCTTTTAAAAAGAAGCTGGAAAATACAGTGTTCTTGATAGTGCAATAAGTATCACTGCAAGAAGAGCCTTGCAATATTACTTATGGTATCTTTCTGAGCAGCTAGTTGGACTCTACTTTCCAAAAATGTAACAGGGGAAAATTATTGTTAATATTTTAAAAGAGCTCCTAAATCAAATGGTGAGAGAAAACATAGCTGTGATACATGAAGAATATGTATTGTGAGATTTTGCCCCAACTGTAGTATTTCTTTCACTATGTTCTAAGCTGAAAATAGATAAGGAATTTCTCACAAATCTACCAAGTTAATAAGAAAAATATTCACATCCACAGTTTAAATTTAGTAAAACAACTATAAAGCTCCTTAAAGTTGTCAATGGTATCGCTGAAAGGGGTGTTAAATTCAAACAAACTTATCACAAATGATAGAAGAATAAAAACAATGTTTACTTAAGGCGGTAGAAGCCGAACGCAGACTGATTCCGACTAAGCCAACAAAGAAATCTATCATAGAAACATTACTACCATCGACCTCTAAGAAACAAAAGTTTAAGCACATTTTTGTCAATGTGTCTTTTTCAAGCGTTTGTAACAGTGTTATGTATACATATTTCAAGAAAATAAATGTTTGATTAAAAATAAATTTAGGTTTTGTTTATTTGGAATTATTTTCTTCAGCCTTCAAAATGTGGGAAAATTGTCATTTTTCGAGATTTTAAGACTTGATGATGGCTAAATGGAAAATATAACCAACGGCCATAAAAAAAAAGACTGGTACTTGGCTTTAAGTTATATATTTACCCTAGTCAAGGGCCTACTTATTTTTATATGGGCAGACAAAAGGGATAAAGGGCCCAGATATTCTTACAAAAATTGTTTAATGTTCAAAACATTTTTAAATCCTAATCAGAAGGCGACATGAAATGGTACTTTAAAACCAGGGCTAGCAATATAAACTTCTACTTGGTATTCCAGGTAAGGCCAATGCTTGACAAACCTGAAAATATTACGTCTCATACTCATCGTATTTTGGTCTCTCGTTCAAAATTAAATCAATGTTTATATGTGAGGAGGTTCTTCGTAGAGACTCAGTCCAGCGGATAAAGTGATAATCGCCAATTTAGCGACTCAAATTTAAGCTAACTATTAGTTTAATAAAAAAAAATATAATAACAAATAATTTGACAGACACTATTTTGAAATTTTTATTTATGTGCCCCTTGAAAATATCTTTTAGTGTGGATTGAAAAAAAAAACTGCGAATATGTACTTGTATTTCCCGGTTTTTATACACGATGATGGAAAACCGAGAATTTTTAATTTCGTGATAGAAAATCTGAAGACACCTCTCAGCGATGTTATTAGACTGCTGGACGACGAGAAATAATAATAATAATGTTCATTTACAGATAACTTGTTTTTACAGTAATACGTTAAAATAAAAATTATAAATATTGTAAATAAACACAGGTGACCCATAAAACCTACGGGTTGTGCATGGGCTTGATAATTTATTTAAATTATTTACTTTATTTATTTATTTTTTTTAACTGCATTATAATATACATATAAATTATAGTTATAAAGTAATGTAATATACCTAATGTTTTTTTTATCATTTTTTTTAACTTACTACAACTACAACTAACTACAACTATCTACCAAAGAATGTAATATATTTCTCTCGGTAATTTTAAGAAATGATTTTATTCTAGACTTAAAAAGATTATATGAATTTATAGTCCTTTTGTACAATTTGAAAATAGTATTTCCTGCATGTCTAGTTCGAGTCTCATAAGTGTGTTCCATTCCACATATTAAAGATTTATTTTTGTAAAAATAGTTTGCAACATTATAAACGAAGAGTAATCGAATATCAAAAATTTGTGTTTCTTGAAACAATAGGTTTTAAGGGTAAGTTATATCTTTAAAATACATTATTATAATTATTTTTTTTTTGAATGATCTCAAGAAAAGACATGTAATTTATTAATACCCTGTATATCAATGGCTGACAACAAATTTTATTTATACAATATTTAATAATAAAGTCACTATGAAATGCGTAAAGTTAAAAAGACTCAAATATCCACTAAATTTAGGTTCTCTTGACGTATGTGCATTTCCTAATGAAACACATTATATATTAATGCATTTCTAAAACTTGATTCATAAGTTACTTAATACTGTTATTATCTACTGACTGCTTTACGTGCAACTTCTAATAAAGTATTCGAAGAAACATATTTTTCGTAAATTATTCGAAACACCTCATAATTTATTAATTAATTCGATTGTACTTAATACTAAAAAAAATTAATGACCTACCCAAAATTTCTTAGTTGAATACCACCGACTGCCATGACAACTACCACTTTCAAATATAAAAGAAATTCCAGCCCTTGAAACGAGATCATTTTATTAAGGGTTTTATAGCGCTTGAAAGGGACAAAAATTGAATCGGAGACCACCTAGTTGGACCTTGTTATCTGGGTAATTTGGATCCAATAAAAAATAAAATGATATGTAATTAGAGGCTTGAGGTAATTAATTTTATTAGATAACATATCGTATGTGACTATTAAAGAGATTGAATTCTCTATTGGGTTTATTAAAAATTGTTATTTTTTACAAATAGAAAAAAGTTTTTATTACTGGTCTTTGAGAGAGCAATTCTTTAGGTAGATAAAAAGGGTGAATTTGATTTTTTTAAATGGATTCCTAGACGGTTGACGGTCATTTTTTTTCTACTGTTAATGACTTACTTAATGTATGTAGTTTTTTGTTCTATCTCTGGAAATAAAGTATATAACATAAAATAGGCATACAAAATGTATGATAAATTATGGTAATTAGAAAATTTTATGAACAGAAAATTAATGAAATATTTTAAAAATTAGAAAAACAAATAGTTTTGCCCCAACGCATTTTTTTATTTACTGTTCCAAATATTTTTTCATAATAATATTTAAAATACAGGGTTATCTAGTTAAGTGAAACTGTCCAATATATCCGACACTAATAAAGATGTAAAAAAAAATATTTTTTACGAAAGCACGTGGGATTATAATATTATAAAAACATAGCAGGTCAAAATTTAATAAAATTGACATTTTTGTATAAATCACTAGTACGATACCCCATTTAACACTTAGTTAAGAACTATTTTATCAATATCAAATATTTTAATTGAAAATATTGAATTAATGAATAAAATGTCTTGGGCGTACGCACATCTCCAACTAGCCATTCATAAAAGTGTATTTGTTGTGAAGTTCTCATCATCTATTGTATAGTCCAGGAGACAGTGACGATTTTCGGTATTTATTTCCCCAGTCAGCAAGCACGAATAGAGAATTGTAGGATTAGCAATTCTAAGCAAAATTCATATATATTTAGAGGGGGGATCCGATGGGCTGAGGCCGAAAATGCGTCAAAACATACGAGAACACGGCCCTTTTTTTCCATTGATAAAAATAGTTTTAGTAGTAAGAGATGTACTGAAGTTAAGTAAAAAAATAGTCTGATTAATCTGTATGAATAATATATTTGGCAAGTGCATAAAATACACTTTCAAACGAGTTATGTACACAATTATTTCTACGACCACAATTATTTAAAGAATGTTCCAGGTGTTTTGTATATTAAAGTGTAAGCATAGGACACATAAATAAAATCTTATATCACAATGTTTCACCTAACCAGTTGGTTTATTTATAGAAATTAAACATAATAATTGAAGATATTACAGAAGAAAATAGGGAAATAAATTACATTTCCTTTTACACTTTTATATAATAATTGTTTTATTTAGAATTCACGAATCACTCTATTAATTATAATTATTGTTAGTTTCGTTATGTCAAATCATTTATACTAGAGGTGTGAGGAAAATACAGTGAACTGTGGAACGCCAATATCGTTGGATGCGCGTGGTAGAAATGGTCCTATAATACTGCTAAAAACATAGCTAAATTTTCATGGAAACACTGTACTTTTGACATTTGCGATACTCCGACGCATATGCATTATTGATGTAATCTCATGATTTTACAGTAATAGTTTTTGCAATTTTAGTGTTATTTTTAGGTTATTATGGTTATTCATTTTATTTGGTTCTGATCTTTTGCGCTTTTAGAGTATTTGTCTTTTATATAGTTTTTATTTGAATTTTAATATTGTGGTCTATTTATATTTGATTGCTGCTTTTCGACTAGTGCTTTATTCTTTTTGTGTTAAAATAAGCTTTATAACCATTAAGTACATGCTTCTAGTTGATATCTACCTAATCGTCATCGGGTGCTTGCAACAATGGGAAAAAGTGTATGGTTTTTTTGGTGCAAAGTTAGACGCCTTCATTTTTCAGGTAAGTTATTTGTAGTTATTTTTTACTTAAAAGGATAGCAATACGTCCTGGTTCGGGGTGTGCCTTTTGGGTTTTAGCTATCTGAGCCAAATTGTCGGCCAAGTGTCCTCTTTTAGGGCACCC